TGGGTGACAGAGTGAGACTCCAACTCAAAAAAAAAAAAAAAACCCTATTCTTTAGTTCTTTATATCCATGGAAAGGGTCATAGATGTCCCTTTCTCTGGACTGAGACATAAAGGTGAATGGGTCAGTGCCCCATCTTCATGTTGGTTTGCAAGTTATATCCTATTTTTTTAAAAAGAGAATAGTGTCAAAGAAATCTCCAAGAGGTTAGAAACTGTTTCTTTTTTTTATTTTTGAGTTGGAGTCTCACTCTGTTGCCCAGACTGGAGTGTAGTGGCCGCTTCTGGCCACCACAGCCTCGACCTGCTGGGCTCCAGTGATCCTTCGCCTCAGCCTTCTGAGTAGCTGGAATTACAGGCACACGCTATCATGCCCGGCTGATTTTTTGATTTATTGTAGAGATGAGGTCTCGCCTTCCCAGGCAGGTCTCGAACCCGCGGGCTCAGGCAATCCACTCACCTCAGCCTCCCAAAGGTGCGGGATTACAGACTGAGCCACTGAACCCAGCTAGAAACTGTTTCTTGTTGTGTCATATTCACTATTGAATCCTCAGAATTCATCACAATATTTGTTATATTTGATTAATAAGTAACTCATTCAAGTGGATAAAACAAAGAATTAATGGTCAGTTGGAAATTAGGATAGCTCCTTTCTGACATACTGGTGGAAAAATATGATCTTATATATGACATTTCAGGAAATGTATTTATTGCGTGAAATCAAGTATACCTATCTGCAATTTTTTTATATTCCAGAGATGTTTAGGTAACTGTGATCATTACTCTGCAGCAGGTCGGTCGGCTCCGGCTGGAAAGACCATTCATGATGGAGCTGCCATTCATCTGAGCCATTGTACAGTCTGTTTGACCAGTATATCTGGCTTTGTACCCTAATTCTTTTGCCTGTGATCCTCTTTTTTTGTTAGCAACTGCTTTTAGTAAACCTTCACATACGTTTAATTTAGTTATGCCTTTGATAAGCCTTTTAAAACATGGACTGTAATGTTCATATTTTGCAGAAAGCGGCTCTCTTTACATCGTCATGGACTACTGTGAGGGAGGGGATCTGTTTCAGCGAATCAACGCTCAGAAAGGCGTTTTCTTTCACGAGGAGCAGGTGAGTCAGCCTGGGGGAGACTGACTATCGCTCTATTATCAAGAAGTGGTTCAAGTTTGTTTTTTATGTGTACATGTATTTATTTATGTAAAAAAATTTCTTTTGAGTCAGGGTCTCACTCTGTCGCCCGGGCTGGAGTGCAGTGGCATGCTCAGGACTCTCTGCAGCCTCAACCTCCTGAGCTCAGGTGACACTCCTGCTTCAGCCCCTCTAGTAACTGGGACTGTAGGCACACGTCACCATGCCTGGCTAATTTGTGTATTTTTTTGTAGAGACGAGGTCTCACTATGTTGCTCAGGCTGGTCTCAAACCCTGGGCTCAAGCAATCCTCTCTGCCTTGGCCTCCTAAAATGCTTGGATTGCAGGTGTGAGCATCCGCATCTGGCCCTGCATATTTATTTTTAACTACAAATGCTAATTATAATTACTAGGGTAGTTTGGATCATTTCCATTGTCTTAGTCACATTTCCCTCTAATTAGTTCCCACCCTTGTCCAATTCCCTATCTCATTTCTGGCCTATAATAATGTAATATGAATTATATCCAATATATTTATACACACACACACACACACACACACACACACACACATATATACACATCTTTGTGTATTATTCATTGTAACTGGTTAATTCTCTATCCTGTCAATCTTACTTACTCCTACCACCCAGACTATTCTTCCTAAAATGTGACTTTGCCAGGTGACTCCAGCACCTCTAGAAGCCTTACTTTGGTAGCTGCATTAAATCCAATCTCTAGGCCGGGCTTGGTGGCTCAGCCTATAATCCCAGCACTTTGAGAGGCTGAGGCGAGTGGATTGCCTCAGCCCACGGGTTCAAGACCAGCCTGTGCAACTTGGCAAGACCTCATCTCTACAATAAAATTTTTAAAAAATTAGCTGTGCATGATAGTGAATGCCTGTAGTTCCAGCTACTTGGAAGACTGAGGTGGAAGGATCGCTGGAGCTCAGCAGGTTGACGCTGGTGTGGCCATGAGTGTGCCACTGCACTCCAGCCTGGGCGACCAAAAAAAAAAAATCCAATCTCTGTTTTGATTTCATGGATCTCTGAAATAGGGTTCTGCCCTACCTAGGCAGCCTTATTTTTTCGATTCCCTAGTCTGCACCTCTTCGGTTTGTTTTAACAGATACTTAACAGATACTTTCTAAGCTCGTGCTTTGTATTGGGCACTGGCTGTGTGTATGTGCATCTTGTTCTCCTTCCTGTGTGTTTACTTTGATTACTTTCTTTATTTTGGTAAGGCTTTCCCTCCAACTCTATTAATATTCTGCCTTTTAAAAAAAATTCAGCTCAAATCCCAGCTTCTTTACATTTTCATAACTATTCTAACTTCTCCTTTTCTTGAATTCCTGTCACGTTTTTCATTATCACCCATTGTTAATTTTAATGCTTTTACATAGGGGAATGGAGGGAATAGAATGTGCTAGGAGTACTGTATTTGTTGTCTCTTTAAATTCTAATAACGCCATGAATTAGTGTAGTTTTTAAAATTTAGTTGATAAGGAAACTAAGAGGGATTAAGTAACTTGCCCAAAATCATAGTCAGTGAATGAACCTACTTCTGTCTAACTGCAAAGTTTGTAAAATTGTCTTTTCACAAACTTAAATTGTGAAAGTATTAAAATATTCAGAACTAAAAAGTCTTCTTTCTCCACCCTTTTGTCCCTGAGATTACACTGTTTTTAGTTTGGGGTGTTCTTCCAGATTTTCTTTTCCATACTTGTGGCTTTATACACACACACACACACACACACACACACACACACACACACGGACACCTTCAAAAATGGAATATCCTACATGCCATGTTCTATCTTCCTTTTGTTACTTAAAAATTTACCGTTTGTTACTTAAAAATTTTCCTTTTGTTACTTAAAAATGTCAGTCCATGTAAATCAATTATATTAGTTTTTGAGTTGGAGTCTCACTCCGTCACCCCAACCTGAGTACAGTGGCACGCTCCTGGCCACTGCAGCCTCGACCTGCTGAGCTCTGGCGATCCTCTGCCTCAGCCTTCCAAGGATCCGGAACTACAGGCATGCGCTACCATGCCCAGCTAATTTTTTTATTTATTGTAGAGATGAGGTCTCGCCAAGTTGCCCAGGTGGGTCTCGAACCTGTGGGCTCAGGCAGTCCACGCACCTTGGCTTCCCAAAGCACTGGGATTACAGGCTGAGCCACCGAGCCCAGCCTATATTAGTTTTTAAAATTTTATTTTGTTTTTTAAGTTGAAGTCTCACTCTTGTCGCCCAGGCTGGAGTGCAGTGACACGCTTACAGCCACTGACCTGCTGGGATCAGGCAATCCTACTGTCTCAACCTTCCAAGTAGCTGGAACTACAGGCACGCGCTACCATGCCTATCTAGTTTCTATGAATTATTGTAGAGGCGAGGTCTCACCTAGTTGCCCAGGCTGATCTCGAACCCCTGGTCTCAGGCCATCCTCCCAAAGTCTCATCCTCCCCAAGTGCTGGGATTACAGGCTGAGCCACCGTGCTTGGCCAATTATATTAGTTTTAATAGCTACATTATATTCCATTCCAGCAAGGCCTTTTATGCTTCTCTTTTTTACTCTTACACCTCATTTCGATGTCCCTCCCCTCTACAGTAGTTATTGTAGCGCCTTCATGTGTATCTTTCTGTAATTGTGCAAAATGGCTGTCATTGTTTTGCCTACATGCATTTTCGAACATACATGTTGCTGTGTCATACTCGTCCAGCTTTACTTTCTCCTCAAGTCTTATGTTTGGATTCATCAGTTTTGCTGTGTGTACATCATGATCTCCACTGTATCGTGCTCCTTTCCTAAGGTATTCTGGACAGTTTCACACTAGAGCTAGTTCCTTCTCTAGGTTATGATTTACTGTAACAGAGATTAAAGCTTTTGCTTATGTCATCTCAGGATACTTGGGAAGGTGTGTTTATGGTGAAACCAAGTTACTGCAACTTAGCAGTTGGTTGACAACACTGTTCAGATGGGGACTTGTAGGCTCCTGACGGTCGCTTGAAAATATGGTAAGGCAAGATCCGCTTTCTGAGTGTTGAAACAGGAAAGTTTAAAGGCCAGCTCTTTTTGCCTGTAGGTTAGCATTGGTCTGAGATGCTTTTGTGCATTTCCAGAATGAGAGAGGGGAGTAGGAAGCGATGAAACAAGGTGCCTCTATCAGGGACACTTCCTTGTTTGCGCTTTTACTAGGCAGAACCCTCGTCACGTTGAGAAGCATCTTGAAGCCAACGCAGAGAAGAAACAACAAGCAACCTGACAGAACAGATGACTTTTAATCAGTAGTGAATACCTGAAATGAACTAAGTACATTTCCTTAGACAAGCTCCACATAGTTATTAACCAGATGTGCCACTGTTTTTGCCTTACTTCCAAGTTTTGGATGAAGATTTTTGAGACTCTTCACATTTGCATTCATAAATAAAATTTTCAAAATATATTCTAGATCAAAATAAAATCTGGCTTCATTAGGGTTGACCTTAATATTTAGGTATAGCTTGAGTGTTAGTTAATCATATAGAACTTGAGTTTGCTCTGAAACCCTAGAGCCTTACAGTATCAAACAACTACTGAGGTCACAGAATTGATTCAGTCTAGAAGTTTTCATAAGGAATCCTGGATTGGAATTTTAAAAACTCTGTTATTTGTTCCTCTATTCCAGTACCAGAAAACCGAGCCCAATACATTCTCTATTAGAGTTCACCTGGAGCACCTATAAATTTGGTTGAATTTTTTTCTTTTTGAGGATCTCAAAGTTTGCCAAGGTCCTTGGTTGATAAAAGTGATTTACCATGTGTGACACAGGGACCCTGTGAGTCAGTACCACATCAGTTTCCTGGCAGTGCTGTGTAGGGAGTCATTCTACATATATTTCTTGGTAGTTGGCTCATCATAACTGGTTAAATGAAAATCATCTCAAAGATGACACTCAAGGTATGACCTTAGTTTCACAATTGATTTGTCCAGTTACATCCTGCTAAAAAGGAGTTTGTATTCTTTTTTTTTTTTTTTTAGTTGAATTCTCACTTTGTCGCCCAGACTGGAGTGCAGTGGCCGCTTCCGGCCACCGCAGCCTCAACCTGCTGGGCTCCAGCGATCCTTCCACCTCAGCCTTCCAAGTAGTTGGAACTATAGGTGCATGCTACCATGTCTGGCTGATTTTTTTGGTTTATTGTGGAGATGAGGTTTCGCCAAGTTGCCCAGGTGGGTCTCGAACCCACGGACTCAGGCAATCCACTCACCTCGGCCTCCCAAGGTGTGGGATTACAGGCTGAGGCACCGAGCCTGGCAGAGTTTGTATTCTTATTGAATCCATGAAAGTAACAACATTGTCTTGAAAAATAAAACTACTTGTTTGTGAATTCTCCGTAAGTCAGTAAGAATCGAATATCATTTTAAGTTTACAAAACTATAATCTACTAAATGGAAAATTAGATATAGCTTAAGAAGAAAAAAAAGGACTTCCTCATCTATTCATTATATTTGGAACATTAAAAATAATACCGGGCAACCCTCTTTCAGGTCCCTTCCTGCTGTGTAGCTTTTTGTCTTCTTAATGAACTCTTGCTTTTAATAATAATAATAATAATACCATTTATGATGTATCAGCTTCTGGACTAAAAAAGTGTTAGAAATTAGTCAGCCCATTGTTTATTCTAAGTGTGTCGGCTCAGAAGCTTGCACCCAAAGGTCTGTTTTCTGAAATGTCAGCAGTTCTGCATTTTAGCATAGTTCTTTCCAGGAGGCTTCTGGCAGGTATAAAGAAGCAAAACCTATTTGGTAGTGCGACTGAAAGGCTGTGGTTAGTTTGTTATAGTAACCAGCAATTGAGTACGTTCTCTAGTGGAGTAGAGTACATGGATTTGATAAGGGTTTGATTAATGTTTTTCTGGAGGGTAAAAATCACCGACAAAGCTCCACGTTTTCTGAAATGTTTATGTCTACAGCATTTTACCTATATAATAACCCAGGAAAGGCTGAGCATCTTTTTTGATTTGGCAAGTCTTCCTAGGCATTTCTTATAACAGTGTTGAACTAATAATTACAGTGAGAAGTATTCTGAGATTTAAAAAAAATTTTTTTCTAACAAATCAGTGACTGTTAGGTTTTAATCAGAGTGACAACATATTTTAGAATAAGCAGAGATGAAGGTAATACAATTATAAGGATCCCACAGGTGAGGAACTTTTTTTTTTTTAAAGCAAATGATAAAATCAGTACAAAGCAGAGAAAATTATTCTGGTGGGCATGAAATATCTACACTCTGAGCAAATTACAAAGAAGATTTAAACTTTTCTATCTCTTGTTAGGAGCTCCAACATCAATTTTCCATTTAATAGGGAGAAAAACCAAGTTCAAGTTTTCTTATTAATATAACATTTGGCAGTAAAAGTTTCTCACTTTTTTTTTTTTGAGTTGGAGTCTCACTCTGTCGCCCAGACTGGAGTGCAGTGGCCACTCCCGGCCACCGCAGCCTCGACCTGCTGGGCTCCGGTTATCCTTCCGCCTCAGCCTTCCGATTAGCTGGAATTACAGGCGCGCGTTACCATGCCCAGCTAATTTTTTGATTTTTTGTAGAGATGAGGTCTCACCTGCCCAGGCGGGTCTTGAACCCGCGGGCTCAGGCAATCCACTCACCTCAGCCTCCCAAAGGCGCGGGATTACAGGCTGAGCCACCGAGCCCAGCTTACTTTTTTTAAAAAAGTTTTTTTTCAAAAAATTAATGAATAAGCCCATCAAAACTGAGCATAGTTTGGGAAAATTCTAACTAATGTCGTTACGCATAGACATCTGAGTTTTGGAGCAGAGACGATGGGTTATGGTTTTGTTTTGGTGTTCAGAGGAGTCTGTAGTAATGAAAATAACTTAAAACTATAATTCAGAGAAGCATATGCTAGTTACTGTATGATGCTTGATATAACACAAGATTTGAATTTAAGTCTTTGGCGCAAGAGCAGGCCATTTCCCAAGCAGTATTTTGTCAATAATATGGAACTAATGTGTACAATGAAGCAAAAAAGAGAGAGAGCTTCCTTCTCCTCCAGCTCCCACCCCATGTAACCAAACCCTAGTGCAGCAAGAGTCTGAACTGGGTAGACAGAGACAATGGAAATGGGGCCTTATACTTGTGCAAGCTCTGCCTCCCCCCTCTGCATGGCTTATGTAGTCCATCAGAACTCAGCTCAGGAGTCATTTCTCCTGTCCAGTTTAGTTCTTCACCTCCGGGCTTAGTTGGCTTTCCTGCTCCATGCTTTTTCAAAACTAAAAGCATGTCTTAATTACTGCTTTACTCACCCTTCTCCCTCAGTCGTCTTTGATAGGCACAGATGTACAGTGGCCTGTGAATCAGATTTGGCCTACTACCCTTGTAGAACATGGCTACGTAAATATTGAGTAGGCCGGGCTCGGTGGCTTAGCCTGTAATCCCAGCATTTTGGGAGGCCCGAGCCTGCAGGTTCAAGACCCGCCCAGGCAACTTGGCGAGACCTCATCTCTACAATAAATCAGGTGTGATAGTGCGCGCCTGTAGTTCCAGCTACTTGGAAGGCTGAGACAGAAGGATCGCCAGAGCCCAGCAGGTCGAGGCTGGGTGACCGGGAGCATGCCACTGCTCTCCAGTCTGGACGACAGAGTGAGACTCCAACTCAAAAAAAAAAATACTGAGGAGAGGATAAACAGTAAAGCTGACTTTATCCCCTCCCCTGCCAACCCACTTCCCTTAGCTACGCACTGTGAACTGACTGGCAGCCATCCTTCTTGCTGCCTTCATTCCCCTCTTCCCTCCTGCGTGCACACAGTCACATAGTTCAGGTATGAAGTATAAAAAAATAGGAGCATGCGTGCATACTCTCTGCAGCGCTTTTTTCACTCACCATTATGTTAATAGTACACACAGATGCGCCTCATTCTTTGCAGGGGCTGCACAGTATTTCTTGTATAGGAATATCACAGTCTGCTTAGTTAGGCCGCTTGGTTGCCATATAGTTTGTTTATATTTTGGGGTCTGACTAGCAGTGCTATAGCAAACATCTTTTTGTATTTCTGATCCTGTGTACAAAGGATACAGTTTTTACATGTCTTACCAAATGGCTGTAATTAATATAACTAACCTTTTCACAAACACCTGTGAGGAAAAGACTTATTTCCCCACATTCTGACCAACATCATTATTATTTTAGTCTAGTTGTGATAAAATGGACTCTTGCTTATTAGTATTTTTAATTTGGAGGGAGGTTCCTCTTTTGTATGTTCATTGGCCTTTTTTTCTCTGTCATTTGCCTTTCCCATTTTTGTCCACTTTGTGTTTTGGCTTCCAGTGTTTTTCTCAGTGATCTGGAAGAACTTTCACATATTAGAGAATTACCAGTCCATCATTTATGTTGCATGTGTTTTTTCAGATTGTTACTGAACTTGATCATGTATTTTGCCATACAGATGTTTCAGATTTTATGTAACCAACTTTATCAGTCTTTTTCTGGTGACTTGAGCCTTTTAAAAAATCATGTTTTGAAGGTCTTGCTTCAGTCAATGATTACAGAAAATTAGCCTTTGCTTTCTTTTATTGTTCTACAGTTTGATTTTTTTTTTTTTGTTTAACAATGCCATTCACTTGGAATTATTTTCATGTTAGGAGTGTGGTAGAATTAAGCATTTTTACTTCCAAGTGACCAGCTCCTAAGGAATGTTTATAAATGGTGAATGTGGGGAGAGAAAACAATCAGATATGACTTCCAAATTTCCAGCTTGATTTTTTTCCTTGTGATTTTTATTTACATTTTTAAAAAGCATTATAGAGCTGGGCTTTGTGGCTCAGCCTGTAATCCTGCACCATGGTAGGCTGAGGTGAGTGGATTGCCTGAGCCCGCGGGTTCGAGACCCGCCAGGGCAACTTGGCAAGACCTCATCTCTACAGTAAATCAAAAAATTAGCCGGGTGTAGTAGCACGTGCCTGTAGTTCCAGCTACTTGGAAGGCTGAGGCGGAAGGATCACCGGGGCCCAGCAGGTCGAGGCTGCGGTGACCGGGAGCAGTCACTGCACTCCAGTCTGGGCGACAGAGTGAGACTCCAACTCAATAAATAAATAAATAAAATAAAATAAAATAAAAAGCATCATAGAAAAAGATATATTTTAAAATAAAGAAGGATCACCCATCATGCTACTATGACAATCAAATTGTTTTCATTTTCTCTCTTGAAGTTTCTTTCCATATTTATTTTGATTTATAAGAGCTGAGTCAGTAGCAGTCTCATATTTTAGATTTGGCATATGCTCTGCATAAATTGTGTGTCATTTGGCTTGGATACCTATTTAATGTCAGTGCCTACAAAGACAAAGAAATTGTAGCCTTACTTTTTTTTAAGGATCTAGTTTCCCTCAACCTTAAGTATTCCTGAGTTCTTTTTCTTTTCTTTTCTTTTTTTTTGAGTTGGCATCTCACTCTGTTGCCCAGACTGGAGTGAGTGGCATGTTCATGGCCACCATACCCTCAACCTGCTGGGCTCAGGTGATCCTTCCATCTCTGCCTTTTAAGTAGCTGGAACCAGAAGCATGTGCCACCACATCCAGCTAATTTTTTTGATTTATTATAGAGATGAGGTCTTGCCGTGTTGCCCAAGCTGATCTTGAATCCCTGGGCTCAGGCAATCCTCTTGTCTTTGCCTCCCAAAGTGCTGGGATTATAGTCATGAACCACCGCGCCCGGCAATATTCCTGAGTTCTTTTAATGGTCAAAAGACTACTGTGAAATGTGTATTTTAAGCCGGGCTCGGTGGCTTAGCCTGTAATCCCATGCCTTTGGGAGGCTGAGGTGAGTGGATTGCCTGAATCCGCGGGTTCGAGACCCGCCTGGGCAGGCAAGACCTCATCTCTACAATAAAATCAAAAAATTAGCTGGGCGTGGTAGCGCGTGCCTGTAATTCCGGCTACTCGGAAAACTGAGGCGGAAGGATCACCAGAGCCCAGCAGGTCGAGGCTGCAGTGGCCAGGAGTGGCCACTGCACTCCAGTCTGGGCGACAGAGTGAGACTCCAACTCAAAAAAATAAATGAATAAGTAAATAAATAAAAAATTTAAAAATGTATATGTTAAAGGAAGTGACAGATCTGACTTTTCTTCCTAGATTTTGGACTGGTTTGTACAGATATGTTTGGCCCTGAAACATGTACATGATAGAAAAATTCTTCATCGAGACATAAAATCGCAGGTATGTTATTCTATCACAGATAACTTCTAGATGGGTAAGGACATGGAGTGTACATTGTCCTGGGCCACACCTTTTTGAACCTCATTCAGTGTGCTTCAGATTATCTGTCTTTTCCCTTCACTCTTAGCCTAGAAATCCTCTTCATCTGCATCCCGTGTTAGATCTCCTGCTTATTTCTTAGTCTCTAAAATTCTACAACATTTTTGTCACTCCAACAAGAAACGCTGTATTCATTGCGGTCAGTTCCCATTCCCCCGCCACCTAATCCCTGGCAATCCCTAACCTACTTTCTGTCTCTATGGATTTGCCTATTCTGGACATTTTCTGTAAGTGGAAATAATGCACTATGTGCCTTTTGCCTATTTTAAATCATGTTGTCTTGTTGTTGTTGAGTTACAAGAGTGCTTTTTCATGACACAAGTCCCTTGTCAGATATATATTTGCAAATGTTTTCTCTCACTCTGTGGATTGTCTGTTTTCTTAATGGTGTCCTTTGATGCACAACAATTTTTAATTTTGAAAAGATCCAGTTTATCTTTTTATTTTCTGTTTTGCTTGTGCTTTTAGTGTAATATCTAAGAAACCATTCCTAACTTAAGATCATGAAGGTTTACTCTTATGTTTTCTTCTAGTTTTATATTTTAGTTTTTAATGTTTAAACCTAGATTCCATTTTTAGTGAATTTTTGTCTGATTTGAGGTAGGGGACTACATTTATTTTTTTGCACATGAATATCCATTTATTCTAACATTATTTTTAATTGGATTATAATTTTTATGGAAAATGTTGCCTCAGAACTTGTCTATAACAGTATTTCTGGGTCTTTTTTCTGTCTTTTATAGAACATATTTTTAACCAAAGATGGAACAGTACAGCTTGGAGATTTTGGAATTGCTAGAGTTCTTAATAGGTAACATATCAATTTTAAACTTTGGTATAATGTCTTCAGTGAAACTTTTGCCCTTGATGTGTATGTGGTAATTTATGGTATCCTTAAGAACATTCATGTGTCATTAAATGATGGGAATACATCCTTAGAAATACATTGTTAGGTGAACATCGCAGAGTGTACTTACCCAAACCTGAATGTCATAGCCTAATACACACGTAGACTATAGGCTGTATCCTGGGCTCCAAACCTGTACAGCATGTTCTACACTGAGTGCTGTAGACAACTGTAACATAATAGGCAGTATTTGTGTATCTAAACATATCTATACGTAGAAAAGGTACAATGTAAAAGGTAAAAAATGGTACGCCTTTATAGGGCACTTGCTTTGGGTGGGCCAGTGAGTGAGTGGTGAGTGGATGTGAAGGCCTAGGACATTATTGCACACTACTATAGACTTTATAAACACTGGACATTTAGGCTACGCTAAACTTATAGAAAAATACAGTAATTGCTCTACAATGTTATGATGGCCATGATGTTGATAGGTGACAGGAAATTTTCAGCTGCATTTTAATCTATGAGACCACTGCTGTTCGTATATGCGGTCATTTGTTTGCCAAAATGCTAATGTGGCACATGACTGTGTCTTGAGCTTCTCCAATATTGTTTACTTTTGTTCTAGTACCGTCGAGCTGGCTCGAACTTGCATAGGGACCCCATACTACTTGTCACCTGAAATCTGCGAAAATAAACCATACAATAATAAAAGGTATGTTATGATGTCTTCATTTGAATACTTTTGTAATGTTTATTAACCTTCAGAATATTATTCTAAAAATCATTAATACACATATGTAAACATATATGTATATATAAAAATAATTTGTTAATATATGATGAAAGGAATGTTAAAAAGGTTATTTGATGATCTTGCTGAAGGAACTATAGAAAGAATCACTTTATTATTTAAGTTACAGTTGAAAGTAGAGTGCTTTCTTTGGTCTTTCTCTTTGAAATAGCCACTTTCTATTGAATTAATGTTAACATTTACTGAACACTTCCTATATGCCAAGCAGTATTTTGAATTCTGTGTATTAACTGTTAATCTTCTTAATAATTTTGGGAGATGTAGGTATTACTTACTTCTCCTTTTCTTTTCTTTTCTTTTTTCTTTTCTTTTGACTCAGAGTCTCACTCTGTCACCCAGGCTGGAGTGCAGTGGCATGCTCATGGCCACCACAACCTCAACCTGCTGGGCTCAGGTGATCCTTCTGCCTCAGCCTTCCAAGTAGCTGGAACCACAAGTGTGCGCCACTATGCCTAGCTAATTTTTTTATTTATTGTAGAGATGAGGTCTCGCTGTGTTGCTCAGGCCGGTCTTGAACCCCTGAGCTCAGGCAGTCTTCTCTCTTCAGCCTTCTAAAGTGCTGGGATTACAGGCATGAGCCACCACACCCGACTCCATTCCTCCTTTTCTTATGAAGAAACTAAATGCAGAGGGATAAAGTAACTTCTTTGAAATCCCTCAGTCGCCGGGCTCAGTGGCTCAACCTGTAATCCCGTGCTTTGGGAGGCCAAGGTGAATGAATTGCCTGAGCCCGCGGGTTCGAGACCCACCTGGGCAACCTGGTGAGACCTCATCTCTACAATAAATCAAAAAAATTAGCCAGGCGTGGTAGCGTGCACTTGTAGTTCCAGCTACTTGGAAGGCTGAGGCGGAAGGATCGCTGGAGCCCAGCAGGTCGAGGCTGTGGTGGCCGGGAGCGGCCACTGCACTCCAGTCTGGGGGACAGAGTGAGACTCCAACTCAAAAAAAAAAAAAAAAATCCCTCAGTCTAGTAAGAGGTGGAACCAGTATTCGCACAGGCATGTGACCCCATGCCCATTCTCCTGAGCTCTGACAGTGCTTGGCTCGCAGTCTGTTGACGGGGGTGGGAAGAGGCCTGCTATGGAATCCACCCACCCTCCGAATCTGCCTCTTTCCAACTGGAAACTCCCAACCAACAAACATTGATCAGTTGGCTGTTACAGGTTTCTTTCATACTTAATTTTAGTAAATTAATATTTTTGTAATGTTCATTAACACAGTATTTTGTTTTTATAATTTTTTAAAAATCATAATATTTTGCAAATAATTGGAAAAAGCAGTTTGACTTTTATGAAATAAAATGTACATGAAAATTTTTGACATTGTTAAGTATTAAATTTCTTTCTTTTTTTTTTTGTTTGAGTTAGAGTCTCACTCTGTCACCCAGGCTGGAGCGCAATGGCATATTCAAGACCACCACAGCCTCCACCTTCTGGGCTCAGGTGATCCTTCCGCTACAGCCTTCCAAATAGCTGGAACTACAGGCATTTGCCACCTTGTCTGGCTAATTTTTTAAAACAAATTTATTATAGAATTGAAGTCTCACAAGTTGCCCAGGCTGGTCTCGAACCTCTGGGCTCAGGCAATCCTCTCTCTTCCACCTCCCAAAATGCTGGGATTACAAGCATGAGCAACTGTGCCTGGTCTTTAAATTTCTTGATTTAAACTTTAAAGTAGTTGCTTGGGCCATTAATTGTCGTATCTGGAGCAGCTGTTTTTATCATTTGGTTATGGTTGAATTTTTAGTTTTAAAGGCAGTGTTTCCTGAAGCACATATTTTTCTAAAACATTGTCATGCTGTTTGTTTCCCTTAAATAAAAAAATTTTAAAGTACACTCTGATACAGGAAATTTCTCATTTTTACCTTCTCTAGTGACATTTGGGCTCTGGGATGTGTCCTATACGAGATGTGTACACTAAAACATGCAGTAAGTAGAAGTTTCTGAAATGTTTTTAAAGTATCAAAAGTGACTATAACATTTCCATTATTTTTTAAAATTGAATTATCTTTCTCATAACTTCCTTATACCAGAAATTCCTCCTCTTTAAGTCAGTTTTTAAGTCTCTGATCTCTTCTGAAGTATACATTTATTTTTATTATCATACATGCACATGTAATATACCTGTTGTTATATGATAATATATTTCATACTTTAAAACAAAATTTGTTTCTTTTTGAATCAGGTTCTCTCTGTTTCCCAGGTTGGAGTGCAGTGGCATGATCACGATTCACCACAGCCGCAACATCCTGGCTCAAGTGATCTTTCTGCATCAGCCTCCTGAGTAGCTGGGACTGCAGGTGGATGCCACCATGCCTGGCTAATTTTTGGAATTTTTGTAGAGATGGGTCTTGCCGTGTTGTCCAGGCTGGTCTCGAACTCCTGGACTCAAGCAGTCTCCCAAAGTGCTAGGATTACAGGCGTAAGCCACCACACCGGGCCCAGAAAATTGCTTCTAATGATAGGGAAAAGAAATTTGTTCTCTTCTTTATGTTAAGTTTACTATGAATTTGATGTTTTAGCTCAACAAATTTTTCCAGTTTCATTTTAGCAAATTCTCAAGTAGAAGTGAAGTTATTTAAAGAACTTTGTTCAACATTCTCATTGATTAATTTTATCAATTTAAATATTCACTAATTCAGAGTATTTAAAATTTTTACTTTTGAGACTTTTTTGAAATAATATGTAACACACCAAAAAGGGAGAGTCTCATCCTAAGTAGATTTAATCTTAAAGACGGGTTTTGGAGTGGAATGTGGCTAACATACTTCCCTACTGAGTAAATACTAATGTATTTTCACTATATAAAACTTCAGATGATACATAAAAATACAAAGTAAATAAATATCACAAGTGATTCTTTTAGCCAGTATTGCTACCTGTACTGTTTTGTTGTTCCCCCCAGGCTTTATTGTAGACTAGTTTGTAAAATGAATTTTATTTTTTCCCTCCCCAAATAGATTACACTGTATAAGCAGTTTTATAGCCTGTTTTTATTGCTTGGTGTTGTTTGGGGAGTGTGTTTCCTCATCATTCTTAATGGTTGCATACTCTTTTGCTGTATTGTCTTAGATTTTACTTTTATTTGAAGAAGCACAGGCTGCCAAAGTGATGAATAGTGGGAGTAATCAGATCTGTATTTGAAGGAGTGTGCCATTTTCTGTGACACAGTTACTTTAGGTTTAAAATCGGTGTTTTGTTTTTTTTAAATCTTTTTGTCTACACTGTCTGCCATCATTGCTTGTGTATTTTGGAATTGGTTCCTCTTAAATAACATTTGTTTAGAGGCACGTGAAATTAATTTACCAACCTTCCCCTCCCCCCTTGTTTTTTATTATTTTAAAGATGTGGAGTACGGTTCAGGGTTAGGTACATAAGTGGTCATTGTACAGGTTAAGTTTGCATACTCTTATTGATGTAATGTACCCCCCACCCCTCGGCAGTGTCCCAGTACTGCCAATCCCTTGCTTATAGTATTATGATAAATGTTCAGGGTCCGCTTATGTGGTACTCAGATCTTTGTTTCTGTGATAAATCACTGAGTATTATAGACTCTAATTCCATCTGAGTTGCTGTGAAGCTTATAATTTTTTTATGACTGCATAATATTCCATCGTGTATATGTAAAACATTTTCTTTATCCAGTCTACTTTCAGTAGGCAGCACAATAGATTCCATGTTTTTGCCGTTGTGAATAATGCTGCAATAAGCATGCGTGTGCAGGTATCTTTTTTTACAGAGTGATTTGATTTCCTCCGGGTATATTCCCAGAAGGGGGATTGCTGGGTCATTTGGAAAGTTGATTTTTAGATCTTTTAGAAATCACCACAGTGTTTTCCACCGAGGTTGTATTAGTTTACACCCCTACCAACACTGTAGAGGAGCTCCTTTTTCCCCACATCTGTTGTTTCATGAGTTACTGATGATGGCCATCCTGAATGAACTATAGGCCTGTGCTACCACACCTGGCTAATTTATTTATTTGTTTGTTTATTTATTGTAGAGACGAGGTCTTGCCAAGTTGCCTGAACTGGTCATGAACTCGCAAGCTCAGGCAATCCACTTGCCTTAGCCTCCCAAAGTGCTGAACCTCTGAGTGTGGCCCAGTGTGGTTTTAATTTGCATTTCTTTGATGATTTGTGAGGTTGAGCATTTTTTTATGTATCTGTTGGGTGCTGGTATGTCTTCTTCTGAGAAGTGTCTGTTCGTATCTTTTGCCCATTTTTGTTTGATTTTTTCCTTTTGGCACATTTGAGTTCTTTGTAGACCCTGGATGTTAGGCCTTTGTCAGATTTACAGTTGGTAAATCTGTTTTTTCCCATTCTGTGTGCTTTCTCTCTATTCTCTTGATGGTTTCTTTTGCTTTGCAGAAACTTTTAAGTTTGATGAGGTCCCATTTGTCTATCTAACCTTTTATGGCATGCACTTTTGGAGAGTTGATCAGGAATTGGTTGCTTATTCCAATTTCCATAAAGGTGTTTCCTACCTTGACAATGAAAACTACAAAACCCCCTGCTCAAAGAAACCAAAGAAGACACAAACAAATGGAAAAATATTCCATGCTCATGGGTTGGAAGAATTAACATTGTTGAGATGTCCATTCTACCAAAGGCAATCTACAGATTTAACACAATATCCATTAAGTTACCAAAATCTTTCTTCTCAGACCTGGAAACAACAATATAGAAATTCAGGTGGAAACATAAAAAGACCACAAATGGCCAAAATAATCTTTAGTAAAATTAAAAAAAGCAGGAACTATCACATTTCCATACTTCAAACTCTACTATAAAGCCACAATAATCAAAACAGCCTGGTACTGGTGCAAGAACAGGCATATAGATCAAGGAAACAGGATAGAGTTTCTGGAAGCAAAACCTCAATTTCTCAACCAACTTATCTTTGACAAAGCCTCCGCCAACAACTATTGTGGAGAGGAGAACCTATTCTGTAAATGGTGCTATGAAAACTGCCTAACCACATGCAGGAGACTGAAACAGGACCCCTACCTATTCCCATACACAAAAATCAACTCTAAATGGATGAAAGGCCTAAATGTAAAACTTCAAACTATAAGAATTGTAGAAGAAAACGTAGGAAACCGACCTTTTTTTTTTTAAATAAAGAATGTGTCAATTAAGAGATCAATGTAAGTTCTTTGGAGTAAGGGAATAGAGAACCTTATCTTTTCTGCATTTAGGATTCCTATTTAGGTGTACAGACATTTCTGTAAGGTTGAATCTGCTCCAGTTTTTAGAAGCTATATGCCATTTAGGAAAGCTCAACATTTAATAGAACTCTTATAATCACTGGTGCCTAATTTATAGTGTATTTTATTTTCTTGATGAACATACTAAGAAGAGATCGACATTAAAACTGCTCTATACTATTTTAGCAGAGATATAAAAAACTTAATAGTAACTTCTTTGGAAATGAACTCTTCTTTAGATTTTTTATTTTTTATTTTTGAGTTGGAATCTTACCCTGCCACCCAAGCTGGAGTACAGTGGCACATTCACGGCCACTGCAGCCTCCACTTGCTGGGCTCAGGTGATCCTTCCACTTCAGCCTTCCAAGTAACTGGAATTACAGTTATGCACCACCATTCCTAGCTAATTTGTTGATTCATTGTAGAGATGACATCTCGCCATGTTGCCCAGGCTGGTTTTGAATCTGTGGGCTCAGGCAATCCTCTTGATTCTGCCTCCCAAAGTGCTGGGATTACAGGCATGAGCCACTATGCTTGTCCTCTTTAGATTTTAAGCTACCCTGCCTCTGTTTTGTTTTTACTTCAGTTAGAGTTTACATTGTGCTTAATCCTAAAATATGTATTCCCATTAGAATTTGTACTCTCCTTGGAATATTTTCCACATTGCTGATTCTATAGTTTTAGGAGCATCACACACACACAAATAATAATAATAGTAAGTTTTCTAAAAGGAAGGTAATTAGTAGTCTTATTTATTATATTTCCCCAAAATACTTTTAGTTCTGTAGTTAATTTCTTACTCTAGCCATTATAACAGAGGCACAGGAAAGCAGATCTTAAGGCCAGGTGATTTCCCCTGGCCCTTGTCATTCTTTGGCTCTAATTTTGCTGCCTCTTAGGCATAATCTTTTACTATCTTGATTATTATAATTGTTTATAAACTGTTTAATACATATATTCCATCTTTGAGTATTTTAAATAAGAAAAAATTACTCATAGCAAGTTATAACATTTCAGTTTTTGAGGGCTGATATTGTCCTTGGAGTACATTTATAGGTAACTAAACTTTGCTGTTGGGAACATAGTCTAATTTCTTGGAAGAGGATTATATTTCTATTCTATATTGGTAGGAAAATAACTATTTTCTGTTGTTGATATTCTCAGTTTCAGTTTATGTATGTTTCACATATGTTGATCTGTATTTTCTGGATTTCAGTTTGAGGCTGGCAGTATGAAAAACCTGGTACTGAAGATCATATCTGGAACTTTTCCACCGGTGTCTTTGAATTATTCCTATGATCTCCGCAGTTTGCTGTCTCAGTTATTTAAAAGAAATCCTGGGGATAGACCATCTGTCAACTCCATATTGGAGAAAGGCTTTATAGCCAAACGCATTGAGAAGTTTCTCTCACCTCAGGTATGGTTTTTCCTTTAACGTCCAACAGTAGAGTTGAGCTGCTGAGCTAGGACGTGGCCTCCAGCGTCAACAAAGGCGCGGCAGAACCCTGTGGGGGTGGGATTGGGAAGGGGTGCCTTTCTCCAGCTGCAGCTGCATCACTTCCTTTCCATTCTTAGGGGACTCCTATTCTTCCAATTTGCTTTCCAATTGTGCATTAGTCCTCTGTTCTCTGGGTTTCTGACTGTAAGATCATGAAACCTTTCTGGGACCCCCCCCACTGTGAGCAGTGGGGTTGGAAATGCTTCTCTCACAGTTGGTTGTTGTGAGAATTAGAAGTGATGATGCACACAGAGCGCTTCGTGTTTAGCACTTAGGGTCCAAAACGTTTGACAATATTAGAGGGATCCCCATGTGGGTTTCTTACTGGCATAAATGTGTCAGTGTCAACATAACTTATATGATTGTAATTATGTTCTGTTTGACAGGAAATGACAGGAAGCCATTTGTTTATGTGTGTACTAGATGGTTGACTCATGATTTTTCTCTATTGCACACATATAGGTGCACAATAAATATTTACTAGTTCAGTTGAATTTTAGTTGGACTATATTTATAAAGCAATCAAATTGGTTGGCATAAGTTATTTATAAAAATGTGACTACCTGAACTTGGAATTATTTTACTTTTCTTGTTTAGTGTGGCCTTTGTTAATTTAAATAATCATTATTAAACTCTTCTGTAAATAAGATATTTAGCAAAATCATACTTTTATAACTTTTTATGCTCATACGAGGAGAAGGAAGTATCATATGTCCTTTTGTCTTAACAGAACATGCGTGTGCACAGATACTCTTCAGAAAGCAGAAATTTGGATTTAATTATTGGTGTCAGGAGAATGATATCAGTAAGCACTTAAGCCAGTTAAAATTTGGAAGTTGAAGGGTACTTGTATAGGACATAGCAACAAGCCCTGAAATGTGGGTGTCTTAACACGACTCCTTTGTTGTGAATAACATTTTCAAGGACAGTTTTATGATACAGTGTGCTGCTGGGTTTTTTTTTTTGGCAGATACTAGAGAAGAAACAGTGACTTCATTCAGTCTCGCTGAGCTTTCTTTCCCCCTCACCAGAAGTCAGGACATGCAGTCTAAAGGCCGGAGTTCTGGAATTTGATTAGCTAGCAATGAGAGAAGAAATATTCAAGCCCGACTTATAATATGGAAAGAGAAAGGGCAGATTGTGATTATTGACAAATGGAATATTTGGCATCATGTTTGGTATATTCACGGACTCTTCTTGTTACTATTTAGACAACATTTAGATTTCATTCTACATGAAAACCTCTATCTTTTGTTCTTCAGATTTATTTTCTACTAAACCTGAGAAGGTTTATGATACATTTTTTAAGCTGTAATTTTGAAATAATGCATGAACTTTACTGCAGCATATGAGCTATTATTTCTGGTATCACTATAATGGAATGGTCTGATTTTAGTGTCTAAATTCTTTTGATGCTGTCAGCCAAGATTGATAGGGCCTAGTTTTCAGTCTTGCCCACCTTGGTACCTTATTCCTGGATGTGGCCTAGTTCTAATTCACTAGGAGTACCAGTGCTTTTTAGTAGAACATCTGTGATCATGAAAATGTTCTTTATCTGCATTGTCCAGTATGGTAGCCACTAACCACCTGTGGTTGGTGAGCACTTGGAATTTCTCTGGTTAGGAAAATGCCAAAAAAATTAAAATAATAAATAAATAATATATAAATATATACATATTAAATGTTATATACATAAATATATAATATACATATAAAGCTCTTCAGCTTGCATGAGAATCAACACAGGCGAGAATGACTCATGTTCAAATAGTGGAAGAGAGTCTTCATTCTGGGGCAAGCTGGAGATCATAAACTACCTGTTTTCTTTTGAGAAAAAAAGGGAAAAATGCTTGTGTTCAGGAGAGAAAGCATATTCACATAGTTGCTCTGAGCTCCCTGTGAGCCAAACTTTCCTTACACTGACCCTTGATTGTCCTAGTTCTCACACTTTAGCACACATCACAGTCACCTGAGTGCATCACTGGCTCCCATCACCACAATCTTGTTTCAGGAGCCCTGGGCAGCCTGACACCTTGCATTTCTAACAAGGTCCAGGTGATGCTTATATTGCGGGAAGGAGACCCTGAGAGCTGCTGTTCTCCTTAGTGGGAGAGATGACCATTTTAGTCCATGGAGTGTCTGGACCACTGTGACTGTGGGAGTACTTTCTCACCAGGCCTCAGTTCTCTTGAAAAGAAAGAAAACTCACTTGCCTTTTCCTTCCCCAGCCAGTAAGAAAAAAGAAAGCTTAAACTGAGTTAACTCTTTGTTGGTATCATAGTTGTGCACTTAAAGAAGGAAAAAAATGGAGTAAGGAGATAAAATTACTTGCAGTAAATGTAAATAAGTTTTGCCTTTCAAAATGTTTTCATAAATGCTAAGGAACAAGTTAATGGAGGGTTTATAGTAATATTAAAAAGAGATACTTGTTAAGTTTTGTAAGAATATTCAGATATTTATCCAATAACATGTTTCCAGTTATAAGTGCAAACTCATTGGAGATACTGAGAGGACGCCAAGTCAAAATAGCTGAGAGGTTATTCTGAGAGAGCTTCTTTTGATAATGACGTGATTCTTCAGTAGTTTTGAAGTAAATGAGAGCTGTGAATGCACATAGACGGAGAGCTTATTCCAGCGAGAGAATTGTGTTAAGGTGCTGAGTTATGAACCGGCAGGGAGTGTGTGGGGGCCCATATGGTACATTAGACTAATCTGAGAAGACAGCCTGTCTGGATAAGGAATGAAAGTAAATTGGTGAGATTGGGAGGCAGTTAGCATGAGGAATTTGTTGAGTGGTTTACTTGGTTTTAATGAGTACAATTGTTTGCAGCATAATTTTGGCTGAAAAGGGAAAAAATGTATTCTGATTAATGAGTTGGTTTTTTATTTTGGAAATTTAATGTCTTTTTTAACTTTTTTTTTTCTCTTTCAATCTAAGCTTATTGCAGAAGAATTTTGTTTAAAAACATTTTCAAAGGTGGGAGCTCAGCCTGTGCCAGGTAAATGAAGTCTAATATGGAGCCTTTCATCTGGTTGCAATAATTAAGACTAATTATATTAGAAATATATGTAGATATAATAAAGTGGGACAATTGTAGGATAAATTTAATACAGAGGAAATGCACCTTAAAATTACTTATGTTACATGGCAATATACTATACTTTCTGATAAATTAAAAACAAAGTTTTTTGTCTATCTTATCTAAACGGCTTGAAATCTTTTATCTTTATTGAATGCTTAGCTGATTTTTGAGAACACTGTTAAAGAATTATAAATGTCCAATTTAGGTGTAAATCTTTATGTAAGATATTTTTCTTTGAGAAATACTTTACATTCTAAAATTTTTAAAGTAAATAATGGTGTCAAGCACTCTATTGAGGAATGGTTTCCTTTTAAATAATGTGACCAGTGGCATAAGAATATTTGTAGACATGTAGACATGGTTATATACGGTGTGTATGTGTAGACGTGTATCTGTGTGAGGGGATTAATTTTTTTGTGCATAGAATGATTTCAGAAGGGATTCATAAAACCAGTGAAAGTTATTTCATACGTGAAGAGTGTATTGTTTCTCAAGCATAGTACTTTGGGTGTTCTACTCCATTTGAGTTTGGATAAATTACTAAAAATAAATACCATCTCATCAAAGTGAGTTATCCAAGCTGGAAGTGGTGTGGCAGGGCGTTCTCAGAAGGCTGGCTGCGCTTAGTCCTTCTTGAAACTCCTTAGCCTCGTCCTGTCATTGTGCAGATACTGTCAGTTCAGAGAAGTCAACTCACTCTAAACACAGTTACAGAATCCCTCCAGTCAGTCAAGCTGCTTGAGAAGTCAAATCTTAACCAAAAGACTCTTTGTCACAAAAGCCAGAAACATTCAGTGTTAGCACATTCTTTCCACAGGGATAAACCTCCATGGGAATTAGAAAGTTATTCATTGTAAGAGAAGTTGGACGCATGAAGTGTCTAACATATCATGGTACATTTTAAAAACAGGAGTGGTGTTACTGATGGGCCAGTAAATACGTAGTGGCCTCCAGCCCCTTAACATTAAACTTCATGCTCTAGGCAGCCTTGTCACTGAGCTTCAAAAATGCTCAAAAATCAGATAAATAATTCTCCTCTTCTCTGGAAAGTGGATGGGAGCTATTCATATCTGTCATCTTCATTTTTGTCTTCTTGTGCCTTTAGCCCCTTTTCTGGTGTACTCAGTATTTCTTTGGTTATATGACCACATTTAGCTAAGTTACAATTGTTGTAACTTTCTGTATGTATGCTCTAATTTGGTTATACAGTTGAATGCTTAAAGGGATTTTTTTTCCCTCATATTTGCTAGTTCCTTGGTCAAGAGGCATTTGGAGTATGTTTGGAAAATCTTATCCTATGACGTTGCATATTCCATGTTATCAACAAAAGATACTTCTGAATCTCTGAGATGCCAACCAAATGGCTAATATGTTTTTATTTTTAAAAGAGTTTACTAAGTTGTATGCAAAATGTGCATTCATTATAAACTTTTTTAAACATAAAAATTCTTTATTTTTTATTTTTATTTTTATTTATTTTATTTATTTATTTTTTTGAGTTGGAGTCTCACTCTGTCGTCCAGACTGGAGTGCAGTGGCCACTCCCGGCCACCGCAGCCTTGACCTGCTGGGCTCCAGCGATCCTTCCATCTCAGCCTTCCAAGTAGCTGGAACTACAGGCGCATGCTACCATGCCTGGCTTATTTTCCTGATTTATTGTGGAGATGAGGTCTTGCCAAGTTGCCCAGGCGGGTCTTGAACCCGCAGGCTCAGGCAGTCTACTCACCTCAGCCTCCCAAAGGCACGGGATTACAGGCTGAGCCACCGAGCCCAGCTGAAATTCTTTATTTTTAACACCCGTTATATATTTTTCTGTGATGATGTAACACATAATGACTGAAAATTAGGATTGTGTTATAAACAAAGTTTTATTGGGTTTTTTTTTTTGAGTTAAGAAAGGCAGATTTATTAAAGACGAGATATGTTGCAGTGGAACAACGGGCAATACAGCAGCAAAGGAAGCCTGTCTGCTGTCTCAAAGTTTTGTTTCTTTTAATTCATACTATTGTATGATGAACATTTTCTGATGCTCTTAAATTTTCTTTGAAGAACTGAGCTTAATGGTAGTAATTCATTATGAACTATTAATTTTTTATTCCTCCTATCCCCTCCTAAGAAAGGATACTTATTGGAAGAGTTTTAATTTATTTAGCTCATGATAAAATCCTGAGCTAGGGAGCAGGCTGGAAGAGGAAGAAAAAAGACTGCTTGCTACTCAGGCTTTGGGGGTGTTTGAGCAAAGGGAACCTTGACAGATGTGGAAAATAGGAGAGAAAATAGGGTTTGCGTAGACTAATACTCTGACGTCCCTTAATATCCCTCAGAGATGTGATTCAATAGTAGAATTTTTTTTTAAATTCCTTTGGGGTGTTTTCTCTTGAACTTATCATTGTTCTAAAACTGAACTTCAGCTGGGTTTCAATAAAGGTTAAATACATAATGTTGCAGGGTTTATCCTTGTGTATACATTTTTATGTTTTTCCACCTATTTCTTTAAAATCATTTAATAAATAACATCCCTAATGTCAATTGCCCTCCAGAAAGTTTGCCCAGTCATATTTCCACCAGCAGTGTGTGTGTGTGTATATATATACACACATTTATTTTATTTTTTTTTTATAATCAATATTTTTTATTATGATATTGTGGGGTACAGTTAAGGGTTAGGCATACAAATATGCTTCGTTCAGGCACCCTTGTTGATAAGAGGTATCTCCCCATCCCCAGACAGATATTGACTACCGTTAATCCCATCTTCCCCCCCATAGTTTCCCACCACTGTCAGTCATTTTCTTATAGTATTACGTTGGATGTTCAAGGTCCACTATATGAGTGAGAACAAGTGATACTCAGATCTTTGTTTCTGTGAGAGGTCACTCAGTATTATAGACTCTAGTTCCATCCAGGTTGCTGCGAAATTCATGATTTTGTTCTTTTTTATGGCTGCGTAGTATTCCACCAGCAATATATAAAGGTGCCTGTCTCACTGATGTCGAGTGGGATGTGGCACAAAACCTGTGAATTCTTTGGCTCATTTCTAAAAGGAATTGTAGAGCAGCTAGCAAAGTTTTCAGACAGTGTTTATTAGAGAAAGAAGGGAGCAAAGAAAGGGTGACATAACAGAGCTGGTGTCTATAGGCGAAAGAAACTGGATCTTTTACTCTTTACAGTAGACCTAATGTATCTTCAAATGATTACTATGCTAAAGAGGGTGGAGCTTAGGTTATCGTCATTCTGGAGATTGACATCTCTGGTCTCCTGATGAGAACAGACATGGAGGGGTAGTCTTTTTCTGACCACATTATCTTTTGCAGGAAACCTACTAGATGTTTCTTTCTTTTTTTTTTTTTTTTTTTGAGTTGGAGTCTCACTCTGTCACCCAGACTGGAGTGCAGTGGCCGCTCCCGGCCTCCACAGCCTCGACCTAATGCGTTCTGGCGATCCTTCCGCCTCAGCCTTCCAATAGCTGGAACTACAGGCGTATGCTACCACACCCAGCTAATTTTTGATTTTTATTGTAGGGATGAGGTCTTGTCAAGTTGCCCAGGCGGGTCTCGAACCCGCAGGCTCAGGCAATCCACTCACCTCAGCCTCCCAAAGGCGCGGGATTACAGGCTGAGCCACCCAAGTTCCTTAGCTAAAAGGTGGTCTTATTATAATTTCTATGGCTTTGTTCAGTTAAGGGGTGGTCTTTGGCCTTGTGCCTTAGACAGGGAACCTGAAAGTTTTTAGTGATTATTTTTATTTTTTTTTTTGAGTCAGAGTCTCACTCTGTCACCTAGGCTGGAGTGCAGTGGCACACTCATGGCCACCGCAGCTGACCTGCTGGGCTCAGGTGATCCTTCCGCCTCAGCCTTCTAAGTAGTTGGAACTACAGGCACATGCCACCACCCCCAGCTAATTTTTTGATTTATTGTAGAGACCGGGTCTCGCCAAGTCGCCCAGGCTAGTCTCGAATCCCTAGTCTCAGGCAGTCCTCTTGCTTCAGCCTCCCAAAGTGCTGGGGTTACAGGCATGAGCCACCACACCTGGCTTCTTAGTGATTATTATGCTAAACCTTGAATTGAAAGGTTGGGCTGTCCTAGTCCTACATCTGATGGAGTTTTCTTTTGGTTTGCCATGGGGTGGGGTAGGCTGCAGCTTGGCCTGCAGTAAAATGTAATTTTTAGAATGTCTGAATGCTTCCTAAAACCTGCCTATGGGAAATTTATCTATGTCTGACTTGTGCTAGCTATCCTGCCTCATTATGGAGGCCTTAGTTGTGACGACTGTTTCAAGGTGTTCTTCAGCAAATCTGCAGGGGTAGCTATCCTTTAAACATTCTGTGAAGGAGAAAAACTGCTGATAGTGATGCCATTAATGTTTAACCATTGCTCTTGATTTTGAGAGTGATTTCTAAAATGTGAATTTTTAGAAATTCATTTTTAACAGTTTTGTTGATACATAATTCATATCCTGTACAATTTACCGATTTAGTCTACAATTCATTTTTTTTTTTTTTTTGAGTTGGAGTCTCACTCCATTGCCCAGGCTGGAGTGCAGTGGCACACTCATGGCCACCCCTGCTGGGCTCAGGTGTTCCTTTTGTCTCAGCCTTCCAAGTAGCTCCTGCCACCACACCCAGCTAATTTTTTGATTTATTTGTAGAGATGAGGTCTTGCCAAGTTGCTCAGGGCTGTTCTTGAACCCATGGGCTTAGGTAGTCCCCTCACCTCGGCCTCCCAAAGTGCTAGGATTATAGGCTTAAGCCACTGCGCTGAGCCCAATTTTTAAAAAATAAATTCACAGATATGTGCAGCCATCACCCATGGTCAATTTTAGAGATATTCTTTTTTTCATATGAGACTTCATCATCTTTTTGCTTTTTTCAAAAAGTGGCTTTAGTGTAAATAGTTAAGTCATTGATAAATGCTAAGGAATGAATAAGATATTTGGTTAACAGTTCTAAATGCTGGCAATGATTGTGAAAATGAAGTGCTATCTTGAAAAATTTTGAAATTAAAGTTTTAAAGAACTACTGGAAAAAAAATTTTTGTATCTTTTCTTATAGCTAAAAGACCAGCTTCGGGACAAAGCTTGGCTTCTGTTGTGCCTGCTCAGAAAATTACAAAGCCTGCTGCTAAATACGGTATACCCTTGACATATAAGAAGTACGGAGATAAAAAACCACATGAAAAGAAGCCACTGCAGAAACAGAAACAGGTACGATCATCTGTAGACTGTTAGAAACAGATTTCAGGTGGACATTATCTTACTGCAGCTCAATTTCATCTTGATATTTGTAGGATTGTTTTTAAGTTCCTCAGGGACACTGCTGTTCTGCTTCATTAGTCTTCCAAAACTAAGGAACCTGACAGAGTCCTAAAGCAACGTTACGTAGATGCATTAAATAAAATACCTGGTGCAGTAAGAAGGAAAGTGAAATCATAAATGAAATCATTTTTGAACAACTGAAACAGAGCCATTTATTTTTGTGCATAAAAGATGTAAAAACGTATGACATATTTGATAAAAGTTTAGGATTCTGGGAATATTTTGCATTGTATTTGAGAATTCACAATCAAATAAATAGCTTAAACTCATAGAGCTGGAAGGAATGTGGTCAGGTAGCCTACTCTGTCATACTTCAGATGAGAAAATTAAGGCCTGTAGTATTTAAGTGACATCCCAAGCACAATGTTAGCTGCAGGCATTTTGCATTTTATTTATGTCAGTAGCTGCATGCATTGAAATGTAGGACCTGTTTTGTTTTGGATTACATATGCATATATATATACATGCACACATGCTTAGATACATATGTGTACACCCTGCTGTGAGAGAAACTTCACAGTAGGAATGATTCTTTTGTTCAAAACATTAAATAATTCAAAATGATTATTGTAAATTAGTCTTCAAATAAATAAGTCAGCATCAAGTCAGGAGAGAGAAACCACATGATAATTTGAACAGGAAATATTTAACATAAATAATTATTAACTATTTTTAGGGAATTAACGTTTAAGTGGTAAAGAGAACTCTAAAGAGTGCAAGAATAAGAGCTGGGCATGATGGGGCGTGCACCTGTTGTCCCAGCTACATTGAAGCCAAAATGGGATCATTTATCCCTTCAGCCTAGGAGTTCAAGTTCAGCCTGGGCAACAATGTGAGACCTCATCTCCATAAAAAAAGAAAAAGAAAAAGAAATACAAAATAAGCAATAAAGTGAGAAGGCTTGTGATCACAAAGCATAAAAAATACAAGAATAGCAGAGGGAGGAAGCAGCCAGTACTTGTACTGCGGTAGAGCATCTAAAGGAGGAACACATTTCTGAAGATTCCCCCAACACCCCCATCCTTAATGAGATTCCGGCTATGTTGGGTAGAGTGTGGCGGGAGCCGCTGGGTGGCACCACAGTCGGGCTGGCGAAAAACCTGTCCAAGGTGGCACTGGCGAAACGCCCTGGGACATTTCCTGGAGCGGCAGCAAAATGTTAAGGGAAGCCCCCCTGTGGCCATTGACCTCACTGGGAAGCCTGCTGGGGCCCCAGGGGCCTGCCCGGGCCAGTGTCTTTGGGAAGCAGGCTGGGATGCCTACTGGGCTCTAGCGGAACTCCAGGCGCTGTCCCTAGGGGAGTGCTGAAACTCAGTATAGGCTCTCCTGGAGCTGCCTGCAGTGGTGAGTGCCTCTGCAGGAACAAAGAGGAAGGAAGGTGGCGGTCAGGGAGCTTCTGCCCTCTGTGACAAATGTCCCCTATTGTCTCCTGACAAAGCCTAGTGGGGTGCGAGCCAGCAGAGGGAGACTGTCCACAACACCTGTCCCCCCATTGCAGGCAGGAATGGGAAGCCTGGAATGGGAGCTGAGGGCAGTGAAAATTGGCACGTGGTTTTCTTTTTAAAATGGATTTATTGCCTTTCTCCCAGCCTGAGTGGACCGTTCCATGTGAGGACGCTTTATTTCTCCTTACGTCAGTCACCACAAGAAGCCTAGGACCCAGGCTTCCCCTCACAACCTGGTCTCATCCCACAAGACTCTGCTCACTCCCCGACCTGTCTGGACCTCCCTGGAACTTTCTAAGCACTGCTGCACAGCCCTCTTCACTTTCACATCTCCAGCTTCTGCAGATGTCTTCACCTTTGCTCTGCACTCTGGCGTGGCCCTGTGCACTGCTCTGTAGCTCTCTCACGTGGTAGCTCTTTTCTCTTGACCCTGATGATCCTGGGTTGGAGGCGAGGGGAAGGAGGAGCTTCCTTGCTTCCTGTTGCCAGATTCTCGCTGCTCCCTAGCCTCCCCTCCCCTCCCCCCTCCCCCCACCCCTGCTCCAGCTTCGATGCTGTTGCTGTCACACAGGGTCACCTGCTTCCCATCTGTGTCAGGGTCATCTGCAGACCTTTATTTTTTGAAGAGTTTGACGTCTGGTTCACTGTCACCTTTCCCAACATTGTCATAGTTCTCTGTGGTTTCAGTATCAAAAAGATGACATTTCCCATAAACGTGGCCTTTTATTTTCTTGATCATTCTCTTCTAATAGTATTGTTTCCTACCATGGCTTAAAACTCTCATCTGTAGTCGTGCCATTAGATTTGTCATTATCAATAATGGCGATTCTCTCTTAGTCTCTTTTGTAAGCATCTGCTCCCTGACGACTACTTGTCATGTTTCTAGCTCATTCCTTCAGGGGTTTGCCTCCAAGATAGCTTTGTCTCATTTGGATCCTTGGATCTCAGTGGTTTTTTTTTTTAATTGTTGCTGGTTTTCCCTTTCTTACCTAGCTTACGTTCCGTCTTCTCTTCTAATCGTTTTGTGCCACAACTCTCTTGCTCCTGTCTCCACTGTTACAAGATCACCTGGTGAAAACTTCACCTGAAGCCCTGCCCTCTGGCTCCTTTGTCCTGAACCTGGCAGGGGAGCGTGACTGAGGAACACGACTGTGTATCTGGTCTGACCGTAAGTTTGGAGCCCACAGCGTCAGATTAGCCCCTCTGGCAGCCCCGTTACGTTTCCTTGCTGTGCTTACTCCCAGTGATCGGGTGGCGATTTTTGGCCTTCTTGCTCGTGACGGGGACCAGGGCCTGCTGCCCACTTCGCTGAGAGCACAGGAGCAATTGGAGGAACCCTCCCTACGCCCTCACAGTCACTGTGCCAGTCAGTTTACCTGTTGGCAGATACTCTGCCTTTCTTCCTTTTGCTTTGGATGCCCTGTCTTGTTCCTGTCCAGAGTCAGCCCCACCATTTGCACACTGGCTTCTTTTTTGCCTTCTAAGGGACTCTGTGCTCTCTCCTGTGTGATTGTGTTTTCCCTCTACTGATCGTTACCATTAGCGAATATGCCAAGTACCCACCTGCAGAAGCACGTTGTACTTGCTGTTCTCTTTTCTGAGAGGTGTGCTCGAAATTCGCCTTGTGAATAGAGCCCTTCGTGAACACACTGCACACCTCAAGTAACAGTTATCCTTCACCCCAGCCCTTGTTTCGAGTCTACTTTATCCTGCTCTGTCTTTTTCCACGGCATTATCACGCTCAAGTCCATTCATGATCCATTTGTTTGTTGCAGTTTCCTCCAAGACAGTGCTTAAATTCATGAGGGTAGGGATTGTTGTTCATTGGCTCCCGGCAGATAGTTCCTGGCAGGTATAGTTCCTGGCAGGTGGTAGGTACTCAGTGAGTCCTGAATAAGTGAATGAATGAAGGAGTTCTGACTTGGATGTCTTCAAGTTGCTCACAAATGTTAATTCTTTAAAAAAAAAGTAACTACCTAAATTTTTAGTTAAAACTCAGTTTATAAAAACCATTTTGTTAATGTTTTTAGCAAATTGATGACTATTAAAAAAAACCTAGAGAGAAATAAATGACAATGGTCAACTCTCTTGAGTACACTGGAGTATGTCTTTGTTCTATAAGATCTACACTAGGGAAAAAAAATGAATTTTTGTGACCTTTTTTTAGTTAGAAAGACAAGTAGCCTGTTAAAATTATTATCAGTAGTGCTGAGACATTAAAAATTAATCTAATGCTTTTAATTTGCTGTTGTAACTCAGGAGTCAGGCTGATTGACATAAGAAACATACAAAGTATGTCTTGCAGATAACACATAGTGGGCAAAGAACCACCCTACCAAATAAAGGGTGCTTATTGTGTGTGTTGAAGACCTTCCAGGATTCGAACCTGCATGCACTGTCCAGTCTACAATGCCCCTAGCTTCTTACCAAGTCTTAGCTAACTTGGACCTTTCACTAGTTACTGACTCTACCCTGTGTGTACTCTTTTTTTTCTGTACCCCTCCTCCATTCTTCTGTCTCTTCTGCATAGGTACAAGTCATGTTGATCCTGTACTCTTCTGTAAGCCCTTGAAAAGTACCAAGTGAAGAACTTACTTCTGCCCTCAATGTTAGCATCCAACAAGAATACAAAAGCTTGAGAAAAATGGCAAAAGGAGCAAACTGTGTGATTTGTGTTCACATCATTAGCTTGTAGGTTAGCAGATAGAATGTTGACATCATGGTCTGGGGTAGTTGCATTGGCAGTGGTGATAGCAATTCTCTACTTACCCAAGGGAGCTAGGAGCACTGCAGAACGCTTTGTTCCACAAGACCTTTTTTATCTCTTCCCTAATTGTCCCCTTTCTATAACCCCCAAAAAACAGGAAAATAATTTTTTTATTTGAACTCCTTCAGCACCTGATATGTATCTTCTTAATGTTATTTTTGTTAGAACGTCAGCTCTAAGCCAGGTGCAGTGACTCACACCTGTAATTCCAGCACTTTAGAAGGCAGAGGAGAGGATTGCCTGAGTCCAGGGGTTCCAGACCAACCTTGGCAACTTGGTGCAAGATCTTGTCTCTACAATAAATAAAAAAATTAACTGGGCATGATGGCATCACCTGTAGTTCCAGCTACTTAGAAGGCTAAGACAGAAGGATCACCTGAGCTCAAAAGATTGAGGCTGTGGTAGCCATGAGCATGCCACTGCACTCCAGCCTGTGTGACAGAGTGAAACCTCGACTCAAAGAAAAAAAATGTCAGCTATGAAGTTAAAAACCACGTTTTATGCAACTTTGCACAGATAAGTGGCTAGTAAGTTTTTAATGAGTGAATTATTGAACAAAATGAATTCCAGATCAGCATAGCAATATCCTTTCTGTTTTAAAAGCATTTACAAGGGTAAAGGCCAACTCTTAATGCTTGAAAGCATCTGCTGAGGCGATGGGTGTCCCACTTACTCTT